TCTGTAGCAGCACACTGATGTTCTCTGTTTTGTTCTTCACTTATTTCCTAATACTTCTAACATTTGACTTGCCTTCTTGGCTACTATTAAGCACCAGGTTGACATTTGGGTAGGACTACCTATCATGACCCCAGATCTATCATCTAAGTAGTAATGATCAGTAATGGTCAACAATCATCAATGTGTGGAGTTAGAATTGTTTGTCCCATGTGCATTGTTTTCTATTTATTTGCAGTGAATTTAATTTGTCATTTAATTACCCAGCCACTCAGGTTCATCATGTTCCTCTGCAGGTTTTTTGGTCACTGCTTGCCCTTGCTACCTTGAATAACTCTATATCATAATCAAGCTTCCAAAACTCCCTACTCACCCACTTTCCCAAATCATTTATGAATACATTAACTATACCAGGTGCCAGCTCAGATCCTACTGGAACTCCAAGGGTGGAATGAACACTGTTGCAGAAACTATCCATTCACTTTTCCTCTCTGTGTCCTGTCCTTAACCAGGTACCTATCCATTCAGGGCTCTTTCCCGTTACCGCATCACTGCTCAGCTTGCCTGAAAATCTTTTGTGAAGGATGTTTAGAAGAGCTTTGGAAGTCCAGGTAGATTATGTCAACTGAATTAATATTACCCACATACATGTTGATCTCTTTGGAGAACTCTATTAAATTTGGAAGACAAGGCTCTCCATTCTAAAAACCATTTTGACTCCCATGTGGGTTAAAGTTTTTACCTGCTTTTTCTTAGGCTATTACTATAAGCAGAAAAATATGATGCATTTAGAGTGGTTCCCAGAAGTATTTCTTTAAACTTTATCTGAGGTGTTTATTTTGATGGTTAAGCAGGAGGGCTAGAATACATTATTTGGTATATATGCTTTTTCCATTTTGACCGCAGTATTCCACTATCTTACAGACACTACAAGGACAGATATTCTAGTCAGGGTGAAGAAACTATAGGTATCTACTATAACACTCATTGCTTGGGGGCATGTGCATTGGTGATCCCATGTAAAATTTGCATGCACCAAAAAGATTAAGTCCTCTCAAATGACTTAGTGACTTTCGTTACCACTCAGTTTAACAACAGGATAGTGGTGCAAAAGGTGATGTAAAAATCTATCTGAAAAGGTAATTTGTAATCCATGCACCCCAAGTGTTATGCTAAATATTTCTGAGTATTAAGCACTGTCACTTTATCTATTTACTTTTTCCATTTTGCATAGTACAGTAACAACCTATTGATTTATCATGATAGAAATTTAGCACTAGGATTAAGTCCTCTCTGTTAAATCTACCATCATTTTATTCAGCCTGGTATAAAAGACATAGGAACAGTGACGAAAAAATACCAGGGGGGAAATAATACAGTTTGCAGAGTTAGTTTTTTTTTATGTGTATCTGCACCCTATTAATGTGCCATCTGCTGCTAGGACATAGATTCATTTACCACTACAGAGTTCTAACATGATTATCTTTTTTTCCCCTCAAAAGCCACATAGGGGCTAAATATAGATTTACTTAAAATTCTAGGGAAAGAGGCGGTCCTTGTCCTAGACACAATTGTTCTCTTGATTTTGAGAGCATTACCGCTAGCATTAAATGTAATTTACTTTATCTGATGACAGTTTGCTGAACAAGATCTTAAGTTTTAATAGGATCAGGACATAGACGGTAAGTGAAGAGAAAAGCATTGTGGGTGGAATTCATCCCACCCCATTACCCCTTCCTTAACTAAGAACAAATTGAGCACAAAGACGAGATTACACCTTCTCCAGGAGGTAGGCCAAGTTAGAGGGCATTAGCACAGTCTGTCTCCAAGCTGGAACAGAGTCTGACACCCTGCCACATTTCCCCTCGTGGGTTGTTGCCCTGCTGTAGTACAGTTGTGAACTCATTACTCAGATATATGCTTCTCTCTATTCACCACTGCGCTCCTAATTACCCTCTAGTTTATGATAGCTGGTAAGGAACATGCAGTTGCTCAGGGTACCTGTTCTGTAAGCCATCTACCCTTTACACAGCAGAAGCTTTTTTTTTATGTCTCATACTATCACGGGCAAATTTCAGAGCATGATAAAGCCCTTCACCAATCAAAGCATCTAGTGTTAGAGGAGAAATTGGTTCCTCATTCAGAGTTATGGGACTATTATGACCTCCCACATTACTGCTGGTTCATTTGCAATCAGCTTTTTCATTATCTTTCAGCTACACTGGACCAGAATTATGTTAATTGCCCATTAACTACAGTTGGGTGATTCATTTATTCTTTTAATTTAGAGTATCGAAAATGGATCTAACCTCTATTTTGCTTTTAAAACTTTCTGATACAATCTCTGCCATTACTAAGGTGAAAGTAAAAACAAGATATCAATAAAGCCATGTCCTTCACTGGGTATAGAGCCTCTGTGGACAGCATCAGATCCTGTATGTATTGCAAAGTAGTCTGCAAAGGATGAAAAGTTTATTAGAAGAGTTCATTTCTTTTTCTCTCCTCTTCTGCTGGAATAGATTTTCCTGATGTATACTGGATGTTCTTAATTTTGTTTTTCACTTCGTTATTTCTGCCTTTTAAAAGGGTTTGTGCTTCAAGGCTTAAATCACCCTCTACCTAGCAAAAATTTGGATAAGCCTTCCATGTGGCAAGCTTATAAAAAGTGTGGAGTTTTCTGCAGTTGGGATGTGTAGCCATTCTCACCCAGAATACCAATTCCAACACTGTTTTTAGCTTTGAATTGTTTGGATTCTTGAGCTTTATACTCGTTCACAGGGGTGAGGTCTTAACTGAGTATTTTTCTTTCAGATGTTTTTTCATTGCATGCCTCAGGATTAGGGACTGGAAGCATCCTCATCTGTGTTCTCTAGAACAGATTGTATATTAACTTATGTTTTCCCCTACAGCAATATAGAGGTGTTTGTGATAACTGTTGAAGGTAGAGGTCTTAGTGGAAGTGTAGCTACACTCCTACAAATACTGAAGTATCACTTGACTGAATTAACATAATTTATATGACTCCAGCACTGATCTGAATAAACATGTAACTTATAAGGATGAACATATTCATTCTTAGCTAAAGGTAGACTCTCAAAGAACTTTCTACATTTTTCCAATTTGTACTATCATAATACAATCTTAACCAAGGATCCAGATACCACATCACTGAATGCAGTACAGGTTAGTAAGGAAGAAAACACACTAAGCCTCTGACAGCTTATATGCCAAGTGTGACAAGACAAAGGACGTGACAGAATAAGTGAAGTGGTTTGGGATGAGAAAGACAGGGCAAAAGAAGGCATTTCTACCCTGGAGACTGGAATGTAATTGATAGGTCTCTAGGGTGGGGAGCCCCAGAGTGACTAAAAAGAAAGGTAAAGAACAGGCTAAAAGTGGGTTTGAGGGAAGCCAGGTGTCAGTGTGAGATGGAGTCATTAGGACAGCTGGAAGGTCTGGGGAAAGTATAAGAAACTTTGAATTGCAGCAGGAGGAAGAAGGAAGGTCACATAGGATCACATGGGTATTTTGGTGTAGGCATGGCAAGATTCCAGTTATTTTTATCAGATGAACTCAGATGAACATTTGAAGGTGAAGGTGCACTTGCAGGTTTGAAAAAGCTGACATTTAAGCATGTCAGTTTTTTAGGGAGGGACATTGGGGGGATTTTTGTTTGGGGTTTTTTTTCTTGGTGGTGTTTTTTTTCACATGTTGTTGTGCAAGGAAAAGTAAGAATGAAAACAAGGAAGCACTGGAGTATGAAAGAAGCAACTAGGCAGTACAAGATGGTTCATCAACAGTATTTTTGTCACATGAATACAGCTAGTATTGCAGGATTAGGAACAAAACATTACTGACTCACTATTAAACCCTGGTTTTTCAACAGAATTAACAAAACTGCTTTGGGGTTATTTTTTCTCAGAGAAAGATTTGCACATTATCTACAAGTGTGTAGACCTTTATTTTTCTGAACACCTGAAGGGTTGCCTACACAGGTAATTGAATTTTTGAGGGGTTTTCATGTCAGAAACAGAACAAAACCATACATAAAATTCACAAGCTTGTTCTCTGCTCAGTCTGCTTCTAACCCATCACCATGAACTACATCTATGAAAAACAGGTGTGTCTTGCACACTTATGGTTCACTTTGAAAGACCAGAGGTTAATTCGGCATCTTAAAACATGGCTGTTGCTTCCAGCAGTCCCTTTAATTTTTGTTTACAAAGCATCCCTTCCCAAACCCTTTCTTGATCTCCTAGTCACAGTTGTCATTTTCTTGGAGAGGGTAGAAACCTTATAGATTAATCATGTTAGTATTGTCAGTGGAACATGCAAACCACTTGCCTGCCTTACAGCATCATTAAAACAGGGTGGTGCCATTCACTATAAAGTTAAGCAGTATCATGTTGTAAAGATGTAAATTCGAGGGGACAGCTAGAAGTTAGAAGGAAGGAATACCACAGATAAGCAGAGTCACTCCAGTGTGGCTCAGCCTCTCCACCTCAATATTAATGCAGCCAGAGTCGATTACTAAAAGAATGAAACTGCAAAGCTAAAAAAGTCTTAAAGAATCATAATAATTTAACTGGTTTTGCATGGATGGATTGTTTACCTACTCCGCTTCTTAAAAGCCAAGGGCCTAGAAGTGCTTAATAAAGCTGCTCTGGTGTGTGTGTCTGCTGGAACACTCATCTCATTGATTTTATATACACACAGATACGCATACATGGGTTCAACACTTTCTGAATTGAGGTCCCACTCCCTGATTGGGATTGATTGATTTAGCGATTCCTAAACTGTCTATATTTAATCATAGTAATCAATGTTATAATAGTGTCTGTGTTGTAAAATATGCAGAATGCAAAATACAGAGAGTTCAAGTCAACTTTGCTTCTGGAATCTCAATTATTTCATTGCTGATAATTTTCATTTAAATATGTAATCTTAAATCTTGACTTAATGTTTTTAATATAATACTTTTCCATATTTTATTACGTTCTCAGGATCGGATGATTAGTTCGTTTACCTATGAGCTAATAAGAAGGGAAAAGGCTGAGATTCCGGGGTTTGTAGAAGGTGCAGCAGAAATCACTAGGTAGAGGCGCAATCGTTTTTCCATATACAAATGCTACCCTCTGCTGGACAATTGGTACATTACAGCTTAATTATCTTGGAGATTACTCCCTCCGAGTACCTTTTCCCAGGATAACTGGAGGTAACAACGGTATGGATTTACTATCCTGATTCACAGTTTTGCTTCCCCTGAATACCAGCTACAGTGTTTCCCTGGCTGCCCTACCCTTGGAGAAGTGACATCTGAGAGGTTATCTCTGACTTCTTTGCAAGGCTCTAAGAACAAAGCAAGACATGGTTAGCTCTCATGCAGGTTTCTGCAGTTAAGTGTATTGCTCTTCTCTTCTGCTTTGTAATGGGAAGTTTAGTCACTTGTCTGCCAACACAGAAGGCTATTGGCATATAGCTGTCGGATGAATAAAGCGTACCACACTATTTTCAAAACCTCAGATTAAATTTGATTCTGTAGCTGGATAACATGGCTGCCTGAATTTTGTCCTGACAAAGGTGGCTACCATGCGCCTGTGAGAACCACTACATGGTAGTGACACTGCACACAGCCTTTCTTACCTTCATCTCAGACCTGCACCATCAGAAGCTGATCCAAATGCTGGCTTTCCTGCATCTGTCTTTACTTGCATAGAAAGAATTTGCTTGGATTTAATTCCACTTCTAGTTTTCATTCTTTCCCTGAAGTCTATCCCCAGTCTGTCTTCTTGGCAACCTACCCTTTTCAGGGTGACTATTTAATTCAGGATGAAAATGAGCTTTTGTATGAGTGGATTTCTGTGTAAGATTAGTACCAGCCACTGGGATGTCTACTTCTGGCATTCAAAGATTTCACTGTCTCTGCATTAAGTTTAAGCAAGATGACTTTTTAGTCATAGTTTGGAGAGTAAGAACAGACCCTGAGAGAATGTAACACAGTGCAATCAACATACCAAATAACCAAAGAAAGTGTAATTTATGCCAATTTTCACTACCTTGATGTGTAAGCCCAGCAGAATATATTAACAAATGATACTTCTACAGGTTTCTGGTGCCATCTGCTATAACTTAATGTATAATTATGTCTTTAGTACAGAATACTAAAGGATGGTTTAAAAACCCACAGAATGTATCTCAGAATTACAGTAATTTTTGTGGATCTCAATTATGTTTCATAAAGCTCTGTTGATTTTTTTCTTCTTTCTTAAAGTGTGCACTGTTTTCATAAAGCAATATTTGATTCTGGTTTGCAGACTTCATAAGCAGAACGGCTTATATCATAATCAGCTATATTTATCCCACTGCTGCAATATGTATTCTTCATATTGGGCAGAAATAAAGCAGGATATTTACTGCATGAAGACTTATTACATGTAAAGGTACAAAATTCAGTTTCACATTGTGAGATAAGCATAGAGCAGCCAGTTTTCTCGCAGGACTTGGGTTCGATTTTGCATCAGCCTGTGGTATTTTAGAGTTTGCTTCATATGAAGCCTGTCATTTTAAAATGGGGGGGGCTGGGGGGTATGGTGTGTTACTATTTGAGTTTTACATAAAACTTGGTGGGCCTTAATCCATAGGAAAAACATGCTCTACCATCATTAGAAATAGAACTATTTGTACTTTCCCTTATGGTTTCATGTTATTTGTTTTGAATGATCTTGTTACCTCTGTCCAAATATTTGTTTTCCTTAAATTTATAAAACTTGGAAAACAAGTAGTTGAACCTTTCCAAAATGACTAGCACGTGCAAATAATCAGTAGATTCAAAGGCTCTGAGTAGTTTTTTTCTAAGATATAGAAGATATTGTTTAGCCCTTAGAGCTGTAACTTGAACAAATTATTGTCATTTTATTGTATTTTGAGCTGCAGCAAATTTTGATATTTATTGTTTATCTCCAAAGCAAGAAAATAAAACAGTGCATTATAATGATTTGTTGCCATCTCCGTAAACCTCAAGTATGCATTAGGTAAGCACATATATTCCTCAACACCTTCAAAATTTACACACATGGAGCTGATGATAGAAAAAATAAACAGTAATAGATCTGCTACATTAAGACAGAGGGGTCTGACACGATCAAGAGCGAAGGAGTGTTTTTAACAAAATATTGCAGGAAATCTAATAGGAAAACTTTCTTTGTGTGTATGTTAACTCTCTTTTTTTTCTAATGCTGGGAAAAAATGGCAGAAATGCTAACTGAGAATATAGCTCCATGTGTATTTTCTATGGATGTATTTATAGCCTTTTAGCACAGATATTTGTTTTAGAATCACAGAACAGAATCATAGAATAGTTAGGGTTGGAAAGGACCTTAAGATCATCTAGTTGCAGGCCCCCCCCTGCCATGGGCAGGGACACCTCGCTCTAAACCATATCACCCACTCCTCTGCCCAGCCTGGCCTTGAACCCTGCCAGGGATGGAGCATTCACAACTTCCCTGGTCAACCCATTCGGCTGCCTCACCACCCTCACAGTAAAGAATTTCCTCCTTATATCCAATCTAAACTTCCCCTGTTTAAGTTTGAACCCATTACCCCTTGTCCTATCACTGCAGTCCCTGATGAAGAGTCCCTCCCCAGCATCCCTATAGGCCCCCTTCAGATACTGGAAGGCTGCTATGAGGTCTCCACGCAGCCTTCTCTTCTCCAGGCTGAACAGCCCCAACTTTCTCAGCCTATCTTCATACAGGAGGTGCTCCAGTCACCTGATCATCCTCTTGGCCCTCCTCTGGACTTGTTCCAACAGATCCATGTCCTTCTTATGCTGAGGACACCAGAACTGCACACAGTACTCCAAGTGAGGTCTCATGAGAGCAGAGTAGAGGGGCAGGATCACCTCCTTTGACCTGCTGGTCACGCTCCTTTTGATGAGGCTTTCTGGGCTGCAAGCACACACTGAAGCCAGCTCATGTTCATTTTCTTCATTGACCAACACCCCCAAGTCCTCCACAGGGCTGCTCTGAATCTCTTCTCTGCCCAGCCTGTAGCTGTGCCTGGGATTGCTCCGACCCAGGTGTAGGACCTTGCACTTGGCATGGTTAAACTTCATGAGGTTGGCATCAGCCCACCTCACAAGCGTGTCAAGGTCCCTCTGGATGGCATTCCTTCCCTCCAGCGTATCAACCGAACCACACAGCTTGGTGTCATCGGCAAACTTGCTGAGGGCGCACTCAATCCCACTGTCCATGTCACCAACAAAGATGTTGAACAGGACTGGTCCCAACACTGACCCCTGAGGGACACCACTTGTTACTGTTGTTACTGGTCTCCAACTTGACATTGAGCCGTTGATCACAACTCTTTGTGTGCAGCCATCCAGCCAGTTCTTTATCCACTGAGTGGTCCATCTATCAAATTGATGTCTCTCCAATTTAGAGAAAAGGATGTCATGCGGGACAGTGTTAACTGCTTTGCACAAGTCCAGGTAGATAACGTTAACTGCTCTACCCCTGTCCATGAGTTCTGTAGCCCCATTATAGAAGGCCACCAAATTGGTCAGGCAGGATTTCCCCTTAGCAAAGCCTTGCTGACTGACATCAAGCACCTTGTTGATTTTAATGTGCCTTAGCACGCCTTCCAGGAGAATCTGCTCCAAGATTTTGCCAGGCACAGAGGTGACACTGACTGGTCTGTAGTTCCCTGGGTCATCCATTTTCCCCTTCCTGAAAATGGGGGTTATATTTCCCTTTTTCCAGTAGTCGGGAACTTCACCTGACTGCCATGATTTTTCAAATGTGATGGCCAGTGGCTTAGCAACTTAATTCGCCAGCTCCTTCAGGACCCGCAGATTGATTTCATCAGGTCCCATGGACTTGTGCACATCTGGGTTAAGATGGTCTCTAACCAGATCCTCTCCTACAGTGGGCCCAAGGTCTTCATTCTCACAGTCCCTGCATCTGCCTTCCAAGACTTGGGTGGTGTGGTCAGAGTATTTGTCAGGGAAGACTGAGGCAAAGAAGTAATTAAGAACCTCAGCCTTATCCAAATCCAGGGTAACCAGTTCTCCTGATAGATCCTGGAGAGAACCCACATTGTCTCTAGTCTGTCTTTTATTCACAACGTACCTACAGAATCCATTCCTGTTTCACATCCCTCGCCAAGCTGAATTCTATCTGGGCCTTAGCTTTCCTAACCTGGTTCCTAGCTTCCTGGACAACATCCCTGTATTCTTCACAGGCCACCTGTCCTTGCTTCCACCTTTTATAAGCCTTTTTCTTCCCCTGTAAGTTTCCTCAGCAGCTCCTTATCTATTCATGTAGATCTCCTAGCCTTCCTGCTGCACTTCCTTCTAGTTGGGATGCAACACTCCTGAGCTTGGAGCAGGTGATCCTTGAATATCAATCAACAGTCTTGGGCCCCCCTGCCCTCTAGGGCTATACCCCATGGAACCTTACTAAGCAGGTTCCTGAAGAGGCCAAAGTCTGCTCTCCTGAAATCCAGGGCAGTGAGCTTGCTGCACTGTCCTGAGGATCTCAAACTCGACCATCTCCTGACCGCTGCATCCAAGGCTGCCCTGGAGCGTCACATTTCCAACCAGCCCCTCCTTGCTGGTGGCACTTGGTCAAGCATGGCACCTCTCCTTGTTTGCTCCTCTATTACTTGCAGAAGGAAGTTGTCTTCCATACAACCAAGGAACCTCCTGGATTGCTTGTGCCAGGCCATACCGTCTCTCCAACAGATATCAGGGTGGTTGAAGTCCCCCGTGAGAACAAGGGCCTGTGAGCGTAAAGCTGTTCCTATCTATAGAGTGCTTCATCCACAGAGTCCTCTTGATCAGGCGGTCTGTAACAGATCCCCACAGTAATGTCCCCCATTGATGTTCTCCCTTTAACGCTGGCCCACAAACTCCATTAACTGATCACCTGTTCCCACAGTTCCATACTCTCCAGCCTATCCCTAACATAAATAGCAACTCCTCCTCTCCACCTGCCAGACCTGTCTTTTCTAAAGAGCCTGTAACCTTCCATTCCAACACTCCAGTCATAGGAGCCATCCCACCATGTTTCTGTGATGTCTATTATACCATACCCCCATAGACGTGCACACATCTCTAATTCCTCTTGTTTGTTCCCCATACTATAGGCGTTTGTATAAAGGCATCTGAGCTGAGCTCCAAATGAAGCTGGCTCATTGGCTGGAGCAGCTGGAATATCTCTGCATTGCTCCAAGCATCTATTATAGGTGCTGGCAACTGACTGGGAGTGCTGGGATGGAATGATGCCCCCCCCCAACACATCTAGTTTAAAGCATCCTTGACCAGCCTGGCAAGCCTTCTACCAAATAACTCAGCTCTACCAGCCCTCAGTAGACCTGGCCTACTAAATTGAGTCCCATGTTCTAGATACACCAACCCCTGACTGTGGCACCACTGTTCTAACCATTTATTAACTTGGCAAATCCACCTGGCCTTTTTATGGTCCTCCCCTTTATCCTGGAGAACTGATGAAAAGACTATCTGAGTTCCAGAGCCCCTAATCACCTCTCCCAGGACTCTGTAGTCCTTATGTTCTCTGGGCTACTGCTGTCTGTATCACCCACATATATCACCAGAAGTGGGTAATAGTCCGTGGGACTTACTAGAGCAGGCAGCCTCTCTGCAACATCCCTGATCCGTGCCCCTGGTAGGCAACACACCTCCCTTGAGACCAGGTCAGGCCGACAGACGAGTGCTTCTGTCCCTTTCAAAGTAGAGTCCCCTACCACTATGACCCGCTGCTTTTTCCTGCTGGCACCAGTAGTGATCCTCTTTATCAGTGCATCAGCTGGTTGTTCATTTGGCGAGGTGTGTGTTTCCTCATTAGCCCCCTGCAGAACTGTGAAGAGGTTATGTAGGGACATCAGATTTAGGAGGAAGCCCCTTGCTTTTAATTGGTTTTTTCCTCCTTTTTTTTTTTTTTTTTTTTGTTGTTGTTGTTGGTTTTTTTGTTGTTTTTTTTTTTTTTTTGTTGTTGTTGTTGTTGTTGCTGTTTCCCAGCTTCCTGGGTTAACGGCCTACTCCTTTCCTCCATGAGCTACAGGGGGTGCTTGAGGCCCCTGCACAGTTTGGGCCGGGAGCAAGCATTCCTGCTTCCTCTCAGCTTCCCTGACATCTTGTAGCCTATTAACAGCATCCCGGAGCTCAGCCCCTGCTGCAGGAGGACCTCCACCAGGGCGCACCGGGTGCAGCCCTGCCCATTGTGCACCTTTCCCTCACCACTGCAGGCACTCTCTACACCCCGAGCTCTGCGCTGCAGCCTCCCCTCTCATCGGCTCTGTCTGGGTGCCTACAGTGGCCACCGCAGGGGCAGCCAGAGCAGAGCTCCCAGACCGGGCCCTGACCGTCAAACGAGTGCTCACCTGCCCGCACAAACTGCCGCGCTCCCTGGGGCACGTTTTTACCCACTCAGGGCTGATGCCGCTGCTCCTGGCCCCGCCCCCTGTGAGTCCCTGCTCGCGTCAGCTGAGCTGCCGGCTCCTGGGCAGGTCCTGTCGAGGACTCGAGGCTCCCTCGGTGGCTCTCGCC